TGCTTTGGAAAGTGTTCTTTCTGGAGCTGTATTTACTTCTCCCACTAATCAGAGGGGTCCAAAAGGACTGGGAAGAACCCCAAAAACCAAACTCAGTCACCTCCATCTGCAGTCAGCACACAGCAAAGCACATTTTGTCTCGGGGACCAGGTGCCTGGAATTGGTACACTAAAATCCAACACATGGGCAGATGCTCGCTGGCCTTGGCAGGGCAGAGTCCTTGTGGGGGGAGCGAGCCATGGGCTTTGGCTGTCCGGGTTCAAGTTGCGCTGCATGCCACAGGCCATGTTCACGGAGCAGGGCTGGCCTCCTCTCCCAGCAAGGATAATGACACCAAAGACCACCAGGCAAGCCAGAAACGGGATGGAAGAAACCACATTAGTACTTCATGCAGCCCATGTGCACACTGTGGTTATACTGCAGCCAAACTGCATGCAGGTACAATTGGGGCTTGTGGACACCAGAAGTTATCACACTTCCACCTGAGACACCGCACCTTGCTATTATCCAGGCTAATACAGAAGGAGCTCTTCCACCGTCCCCATGCTACCCAGCAACCTGGAGGGACCTCCTGAGCCTTCAAGCTAGAAGAAAACCCCCTTGTCCATCCAAAGCCTTCTCCTCCCCAACATTGTTTTCATTTCCCCCCTCCCTCCCTTTTACTCTCAATAAAAACATAATTACAGGCTTTTTAAAAAAGCAAATTATAGTGACATACTTTAATTATCTCCAAGCATTGGAGGACTAAATTACACAGTCAGGGAAACGGAGGTTACCTAAAAATAAAAGCAAGAAGCTTCATTAAATGCTAATTGCAGCTTTTGCTGCTGAAGTGAGATTTTAACACAATCTGCCATTGACTCGCTCGGCCATATGAGAGAACATTGGCACTGTGGAGAGACCCTCACGTACACGCCACGCACATGCCTCCGTCCGTGGCTGGAGGGCCTCGTCCACTAGCACTGCTTCACCAGGAGAAAACCATGCAGTTGACATGACCACCTCCACTCTGCTGCTGAGCCATTACCCATCCCCCATGGCACGGACTGCTTCTGCAGCACCCATCATCCCCCAGCATCGCGTTTCCATCCACCAGCCTGCTGAGACCACTCAGAGGCATCTATCCACCTTTGCAGCAGAATGGATGTGCTTACCGCAGCTCTCCATCTTCTTCGTTGGCTTCCCAGAGCCCGGGAAAATTAAGATCGAGGCCTCTGTTTGCATTTTCAAAGCTCCCAGTGGCCCTGCAAGGGCCTAATGCTCCAGGACAAAAGTTCTGGTTAGCACTGCTCCCTTTGGGAAAAACACTTACTAGTGTAGAAATTAGCTTAACCTGTTTGCTGCAGGGCTGCCTCCCACCACATAATGAACTGCAACAGCTGTCACAGCCTTCACTTCTTCACTTCCTCCTGCTCTAAATGCAAATCGCACCTTGTTCCAAGCTGCACTTGGATCTCCTAGGGCCAAACTGTGACTCTGCAATTCTCTGCAATTCCTTGAAAGAAGAACCAGGTGGAGACCTGCCTCAGAGCAACAAGCAAGCCACTTGTGCTCTCGCTGCTGCCTTTCTGCTCCAGTCCAGCTCTTCCCATCCCCTTCCTCCAGATTTGCTTACTAAGGAGATTTGCCATGGCTTTGATGGGAGGTCTCCAGCCCTGGGTGGTGGGATAGAGGACCTGCAGCAATTCCACCTGAGTCAATGTTATGGAGGAGCAAGGACTAACAGGGTGGGGGGAGATTTTAAGAATTTACAGAGAAATGATTTTGTTTTTCAATTTCCTATAGAGCTGGCCTAATTGTGTCGCTAAAGTCTGTAATTTGCCTCTCACAGAGCAGAGTTAATGATAGGCTCCACGCTGCTGCCTCTCTGCGCAGGCTTTGAGAGATGAGCGCATGCACGCACAGCACCCAGCTCCAGCCCTTGGGATCTGCCAAGGGCTGTGCCGCAGGAATGGGAGCAGGAGGACCCTGAAAGCACCTGCTTGTCCATGGAGACAGCGAGCTCGGAAAGGGAGCTAGAGAGTCAGGACCAAGGGAAGCTAAAGCCAAGGGAAAGGTTGAGGAGGGGAACTTAGGAGACAACAAGAGCCCGGGTTTGTCACCTCACTTCTCAGCTTCCTAGAAGACCAAAAAGAAAAAAAAAAAACACAGGCCAACCATTTAGGGAATGTGGGCAATTATTATCATTTTAACTCAACAACCTTTCATAGAAATAAGGGAAAAAAATCAGACAAGTGCTTTAAGCTGCAAGGGGGGCAAGGAGGAGAAACAGCAGCACAGATTTCAGGGCAGGAGCCTTGTTTAAAAAAACATATATATTATATCTCTATGTATGTATATACATACACACACATATACACATGAAGAGTACCAAAAGCTCATTTCCACACATCAGATCAAGCAATATCTCCTCTGCTCTTATTCTGCTCAGCCACAACCAGCAGAATTGCCCTCAAAAACATTTAGCAAAGCAGTACCTCAATCCTAATAGATGGTAGCTAGCTCCTAAAACTGCCCCACCAGTGGCCGCCACTGCTCTGCAGATATCGGCACCAGAGCCTGCCTAGATCTATCTTGTTCTACATCCGTTTCAGCTGCTAATAGACGGCTCTTAATTAGCTTTCATAATCAAATAAGTGTCTAGAATTAAACAGCATTGTATTATGAAACACCACATAAAATTAACCAGCCATGTTCAGAGGTCACTACATCTGCCACCGAAACGCGCCCAGCTCTGGGAAGGACGCAGGCCTATTTAGCAGCACCAGTGAGTGTAGGTTTTAGCTGATAAAAATGGGGCCAATTAAAATTCTGTTTCGAGACCAATGAGGTTGGCTTTGTGCAAATATTTTGCATATCTGTTGAAGAGCATCTTTATATCATTTAAGCTGAAGTCTGTAAGGAATAAAACTGAATCACTGTAAAGCACACTTACACCAAAATAAGTACCCACATGAGGACTCTCTTGATTTAACACTCTATCAGATCCATCGAGAAATCAAGATAGCTATTGTGTTTAAATAGGCCCTGATGCAAGAGGGGAACATGAACTTATTTGAAACTACCTTCAAAATTTAGCCAAGCAACTTCTCTCCAGAGCACCAAGCAAGGGTCCAACACACACCTCTTGGGAAGCACCTTCCTGGCCCATCCTGGCCACGGGAGCCCAGACCCCGCTGTTCCCTCTACCAGGCAATGGTGTCTGCGGCCACCGGGCATCATCAAGCGACCGAGCATGGGGTTAGCGTGACTTTTGCTTGCACCCACCTTTCTGCTATAACACCATGCGGCAGCATAGCCCAAGCACTGAGCGGCTGATACAACACACTCCAGGGCTGGCTGCGTTTATCAGGAAGCAGTTGGAAGGCAGAAATGTTTTAGAACAAAAGAGACACAGGGCAACACCTCAAGGAAATACTGGCCTGTGGAGAAATAGCTCATTCAGCTACTACAGCAGAGCAGTTAGAGCAGCACAGCTCTCTGCATCCCACACGGCGGAGAGCACCAACCCGAAGAGGCTGCCTTGCTGCCATGCATCTCCTCCTTCCAGCACCCCGGCCAGCCCCAGCCTCTCTGCACCGTGCCCTATAAACCGCCCCGGACCACTAGTAGACAGATAAGTCTGGAAAAACTGCTCAGTGGCAGCACGGTCCTCCCCAGTCACAGCCTCTCTGGGTGGCTCAGAGCAGCCCTCATCATACACACTGCAAGGGGAGGGATGCTTAATTAAGGTGGTATCAGCCTTTCCAAACAGCACCAGGCAGAATTTAGGGGGTAAAGCTGCTTGTAAACAGTAGAGCAGTAATTCACAGCTAGGAACAGCACCAGAGATATCAACCTGGGTTTTCTGGGAGCCCTCTGAACCGGGCAGCATTTCACGATCCGATCAGACAGTGATGGATGTGGTGGGAATGAAGCCGTTTTCTCTCCTGAGAAGCTCTTTTGACAAGTGTGATCTTATCAAAGTCTCAAGCTTTTCATTATCTTTTTTTTTTCCCTCCCCTCCTCCTTTTTTAATTCCTGCCTTCAAGCCCCACTCTGTCCTCTCCATGCTGGCAAGGAACAGCTGCTTTTCCCTTCCCATTTTGATTGATGGCTGAAGCTCCCTGCAGTGCTTGGAGCAGGAAGCACAGAGGCCTCCCCTCCCCAGAGCACACAGCCCATGCGACCCACAGGGACGCACAGGGTGCAGAGCTGAGGCCCACAATTAATACACAAATAAGGACAGGAACATGCGTATCTCTGGGGTAACTTCATACAGACAGAGAGGGGACACAGGGATCTTTGAGCTAGGAGGAACACGTGGAAAGGGATGAGAAGACACCCAGCATCCTCATCTGTGAGGATGGGACACCACAGCCAGCTCCAACGCTCCTGTAAAGCATCGACCTGCCCAAAACGGCTGCAGAAACACACACTGGAGCCCCAGCCAGAGCCAGACCACCTCTCTGGGGCGGGCAGCAAAGCCTTTCCCTGCCCAGACAAGAGAGAGCTCCCCTTCCCTAGCTCACAGCTGCTCCCAGGAGGAAAGGCAGACTTGGACCATCTTCTCCTCTCTTGGTAGCCAGCAAGCAGAGCCACCCCCTTTCAGAGGGCCTTTCCCAGAGCCCAAGGACAGAGACACCAGCAATAACCACAAAACCCTCCCCAAAACAGGCAAAACCAAACCAAGACTTCTGAACAGCCACATACCTCGTGCACCAAGCTGCGCTAGCCCAAGGAGCAGGCTGGACCATCGGGCAGGCACCCTCCTCCCGAGGGAAGGCAGAGCTGCTCTGAGGGAGGGTCACTTCCTAATTAGCCCAGGCGGGTCTTGATGGCCCTGGCTATGAAGGGGCAAAAGAACGGAAAAAACCTGGGAGATCCCTTGCTCTCCAACCCCCCATCCTCAGCTCACACCTGCACACACGGGGGAAGAGCAAACGAGGAGGAATCAGCCCAAACCAAGGCACCTCCCAGAGTCGGAAACGAACAGGCACCAAGGGACAACAAACGCTGAGTGCAAAACCATGGTCTTTTATTAGAAATCTCCTTGTATAAAAATGATCATGCTCTACACAGTCATCGAATAATTCATAAACATTCAGGCACTGAACTTTGTTTTTTTTTGTGTGTGTTTTTGTTTTTTTGACTGGTCAGTACATAAAGCAGACATATTTCAATCCATATGGTCATCACATACATTAAATAACCACCTATAGAAATCAGCACTTTGAACACAGTCTAGGTTGTATTTTACTTTATTCTGTTGTCTGTTTTCATTTAAATTTTATTTATTTTTCCTTTTTGCAACATATAGAATTTGGTAGGATAAAGGAGAGAGAGTGAAGAGGGATGGAGGAAGACAGGAACAAAAGAAAATAGAAAAGGATAAAAAAAAAAAAAGAAAGAGAAAACGGAAGGTTCTGCACAACCACAAACAATCTCACAAATTCCAGAAAAGGGGAAACGTTGGGTCTCAGGGTTTTTTGTTTTTTGCCAAGATACAGAAACAAAACCCCAAAGTCTGTCGCGTCTTCCCCACGATACGCCCCCCCGCCCCCCGCTCAACTGTTCCTCCTCCTCCGTGGGGAGGCATGCATGGTCACGGTGGTCAGTTGGTCGGTGGGTTTTTTTTTTTATTGTTTCTTTCTTTCTTTTTTTTTTCTTTTTTTCTTTCTTTTTTTTTTTTTTGCTTTTTGCTGCTGTTAATCACCATCTTCCCAAGGAGCTCCCAATGGCCCAGCCAGGGAATGACCCCGCTGCCACCTTCCCCTCCAGTCCTGCTCCCCCTCCAGCGTCCTACGACGAGCGATGCCACGCCGCTCCCTCCTGCTTCACGGCACCTGCAGCCTCCCTTTGCACCAGGCGTTGCGACCGCTGGAGTTAAATCGCGTGGTTGCTATAGCTGACGTAAGTCTGTTTGGTAGCCAGCGCTGGAAAGACAGACAGACCTCACATGCATCGTTAATGAAGATTACCCTCCTCTCCCAGCTCCGTCCTGCAGCCCTGAACCCGTTGCGCCGGGAGGTGCTGCTGGGGGACGTGGCGTGGGACCGGGTCAGGCTCACGTAGGCAAACCTGGGGCCACCTTCCACCTTCCCCAGGGGCACCAGCCCTGGGGAGGGGGTCGAGTACACGAGGAGAGGAGGAAGCAAGGGCTACGAACTGCCCCGTGTCCGAGACACGCACCAGGGCAGATGCAGCAGGGCCCAGAGCCAGGCAAATGCCGGAGAGCAATAAATCCTGCTGCTCCCCGCGGGGCTGCGCCGCTGCCTTCGGGCTCCGAGGCTGCTGCATGTCACTGGCGTTTAGCAGCAGCCCCAGAGCAGGGAGCAGCACAGGGTCACAGAGCAAAGCCCAAGGTACCCCAAACAGCGCGAGCGCGTCCTCCGTGGAGACCACCCGGCTCTTGGCCATCCCTTCGCCCGGATGCCTGGGGGACGCCCGCCGCTCTCCCTCCATCCTGGTGCCTCCCTGACAAATGAGCCTCGCTGAAGACTTCAGACTGGTATTCCCAGCTAACAATTAGACGGGCCATAAGAAATTCGAGCTGACAGAGCTATTTGTTAGCTGCAATGTTTTCATAGCCAATCTGCCCATATCAAAGCCCTGTGAATTATTTATTCTGTTGTGTATTTAAAGATGCGTTACCTGCCAGTGACAGAGTGACAAATGGCCCCTGCATCCTGCACTGACAATGCCACCGTCTCTCCTGCCCACAGCTTTAACGCTGTGACCAGCTCCCTGCCCGTTCCCCAGTGTGACACACACAAATCGGTCCCGCGGGGAAGAAGGACCCTCAGCGCAGCAGCCGGCACGCAGGACTGATTCTGGGTCAGGTCCCGGACAAGGTGCTCGCTGGCAAGCCCTTCCTGCTGGGGAGCACCCATAGGTACCCCAGGGCTTCTCACGGAGCTTTTCTTGCATGGACAAAATGGGATGGAGGGACCACGACCCGCCCCGAATCAGAGCAGGAGCCGCAGACCACAGGGAGCTGTGACACCGGCTGATGAAAGCCGCCTCCCGCACGGGGGGCGAGGAGGGTCTGCCTGGGCGGCTGCCCTGCGTGATGCAGATGGGCAGATGAAAGAGTCAATTAAGCACCAAGACTGCCTATGGAGAGATGTTGCATGCAGAGCCCTGCCAGCGAGAGCCGTTGTACAGAGAGAGGCGGATAGATGGGTTACTACCGAGGTGCCAAGAGATATTAAACAGCTCCGACTGGAAAGAGAGCAAGCATTGGATTACAAAGAAAATCACGGTTTTTCATGTAAATGATGTTTGGTCTCAATCCCACTGGTGCTGAGACCCGGTAATGTTGGTGGCGCGCAGGAAATGTTTGTATTTCTCTGGGGTTTTCTGCAGACAGAGCCCAAATGGGATTTCCCTTCTCAAAGCACCCCAGCAGCACTGGCTCCAACCATTCCTTCCTCCCGCAAGGCTCTATTTTTGGAAACTCAGAAGTAAAACAGGCAGGCACTCACTTTCCCCGGCTTTCCCAAGCCCCCAGGCCTGGCTGCGCGGCCTCGCTTCCCACGGGAGACCGACGGCTCCCTCCCAGTGACGTCAATGCTCAGCCTTAGCTCCAGCCTGGCCCCCCAGAGAAGAGCCCACACAGATACACAGCGAACGCCTAATTTCTGCATCAGCCGCATCACAGCCCTCCTGCGGCAGCTCCACGCAGCCGCCAGGCTTGCCCTTGCTGGAAACCTCTTTGAAATAGCCAAGGAGAGACTCGGCTGATCCCCAGGGTGGTCGGACATTAAGAGCCGTCTCCTGGTATTTGTTGCAAAGGAGCAGATTTCCCTGTGTCCCCAGGAGGCATCTCGCACCGCAGGGACACGTCTCCAGCGGATTTCCCACGGCAGTCAGCCGACAGCCGCTTCCATGGGGCAAAATGGGCCGGCAGAGGGGACGGGAGGGCAAGGAGCGATGCGGGCCGCAAGGAGGCAGGAGACAGCCCATCTCACCCATGCAGCTGCAGTGACGGAAAAAGTGGTGTTTCTCGAGGGGGGAAAAAAATTAATGAATGGGGAGATCTGGAATCCACTCAGGATGCTATGCCGAACAGAAAGGAGTGAGAGCCACCACAGGAGCCTTTATTTGGCCTCCTGGCACATCCCCAGCGCGTGGAGATGCCTGTGCCCATCCAGCTGTAGGACAGCACAGCTATGTCCCACCAGCAAGTGAGGGCTGCAGGCTCCCCAGCGCAGCATCTCCGTGCCGCGGCAGGACCAGCTCCCCGCACCCCGCTGCGAGCCACGTTACCTTGCGTTTCCAGATTTTCGCACAGCTCTGATTTGGCTTCTCCGTTGGGGCGGAAACCTCCCTTCTGAGAGAACTTGTTGGACATGGTGGCAGCTGTCACCACCGCCTTGAGGCTCCGCTTGCGCTTGGGGACGTTCTGCTCCGGGTGGAAGAGGATGATGTACACCTTGGGCATGTAGAGCATGCCCAGGGACACCGAGGCACTCAGACTCACTGAGATGGTAAGCGTCGTGGTCTGGATGTACATCTGCAAGACACGAGGGCACGAGTTCAGACCCACTGTGGTTTTGCAGGATCCACAGCAGCCTCTGCCACCCCAGCCTCGATGCAGGCTCTCGCGGTGACCTGCTGGCACGGCAACTTAAAAGCATCAGCAAAGACGGTGAAGGAGCCTCCAGCATCCTCTTCATGCTTCCTCTCTCCTCACTCAGCACCCCCACGCACCAGCAGGCAGCACCCCCAGCCTCAGGGCAGGGAGCTCGGGCGCCATGGTGATGGGCTCTGGAGGGAAACCCGACCACATGGCCCGGCCCCGGGTGCCCAGTGCTCCCCCAGCTCCCTTCAACAGGTAAGTCCCATTCCCCAGCTGGCTCCCTGGGCCGTTGTCATGTAAGTCACATATTACACACCGACATTGCCTTTCTGCAGTCAAAACTAATTTCACGCTCACTGTCCAGGACTAACGGTGACAGATGTTTTGCAAAGTGAAAGCCCATTAATCTGACTGTAGAATAATCCATTTTTCTATGGAGAGCGTTTGGCAGTCTCCTCACAAGCCGGGGGCATCTCAATCAGGTGGCCATGGGAGGCGAAGAGACCCCCTCTCCCCACCCGTCCCCACCTCTCGGCCTGAAGCAGCGCAGGAGGCCGGGCTCACAAGCCCCTCCACCAGCATCCCCACTCCGCGAGCGTCCCTCTCTCAGCACCGGTCTCTGCCTACCACTGTCTTCTCCAGCATCCTCAGCTCACACGTTGGGCCTTTCCTGGCCAAGCCTGTGCACGCACCAGCTTTCTTCCGGCTGTGCTCAGATGCGGGGGCTGTTCTGCATGTTGCTAACAAGGTTTTAGGAGAAGGCTTAAGGCAGTTTCTGAACTTTATCCCATGGCTCAGCCACAGAGAGGCATCCAAGGTTTCTTCTACAGTTGTTTCACACACGGGGTTTAGCGCTGTGCAAGGGTGGCAGCCAACCGTCCTGGCTGGAGAGGAAAGCGTGCCCAGTGCTCACGGCTTGGTGAGGAGCAGGACCCGTCGCGGCAGCTGCATGCATTGAAGTTGAGGGCCTCATTTTCTGGCACCAACAGAGCAAAAAGATGACCAAGAACAAAAGATGAGCACAGATGCTTTGATGCGCGAGGAGAAGGCGCAGGGAGACAGCTCTCCATCCCAGGAGTGAGAGCAGCTGGAGAACGTCGCCTTGGGCTCAGGCAACATGAACGTCTCCAGCCTGGCAAGGGGCCTCGCGGCCTCTGTGCTCTGCAGGGTGGTTGCAGCAATTAGGCAGATTTTAGAAATAAAAATGTTGTTTCATCAAGAAAAGTCAAAACACTTCTCTGTGCTAGAATATCTGAGTTTTTCAGGGGGAAGGTGGTTTGTTTGTTGGTTTGTTTTTCTCCTTTCCTTTATGGCTGAAAACTTCCAAATTTTGGTGCAACTGGCCAGGTAGACCTCCAGGACCAGAGCAGCTGGGAGGGATCCCTCTCCCAGGGACGGGCACAGCTCAGCTCAGCTCCAGCGCTGACACCTCGGGTCCCTCTGCGGAGCAGGGCCACCGCGTGTCCAGCCCCCGCCGAGGCCCAGGAAGCCTTTCCCTCCCCGGCTCCGCCGTCAGCAGCCCCCCTCGCTGCTCTGCGGGTACCGCTCAAAGGAGACTCGCTTTGCAATTCAGCAGTTTCCATATCTCCTGCCTCTGCAGCGACTCCCACCCGTTATTTGAGACTCGGAGGCGCTGCCGCAAAGGAGGAGAGCAGCTGAGATGGAGAGCAGACACGACGGCTTCCACGCACGCTTCCCCGAGGCGCCTGGGTCGGGTCTCCGTCCCCCAGGCTCCACGCTGGGGCTTCCCTCTGCCGAGAGCCCAGCCGGCGCCAGCCACAGCCTCCTCTGGTCTCTCAGCCCTACTTTCACACCTGCAGCATTTTCA